TTTTGAGAAGTGAGTTACGTGTTGATGGAATGCCAAGGAGTAGGAACTGTAGAAACAGATGCTATGTGTAAAGATTTGCTGGGGGTTTTTTTAACAGAAAACATTGACACAGCTAGAGCTGGTTAGCCACATCCACTCCATAGAGTTAGAGAAGTGCTACAGTTAGTTGCAACATGTGTAAACATACTAAGTGAGGTATGGAAGCAACACGTGTGATAGGCTCAAGTTATACCTGGCTTTTCCCCAAGTGCTGACTAATTTTGCTGGAACCTTACTTAAAGTGAGAGTTCTGTGAAAACTAATTGGTACAACATAACTCGGCTTGATGATATTATGTGGAGGGGAAGGATTCTAGTCAAGTCATGATCACACGACTTTTGTAAATGACACGAGTTTTGTAAATTAGAGCTTTAGACTGGACAGTTGAAAAATGTGGAGGGTAGGTCTTGTGGGATATTGTTTACTGTAGTCTGAAATTAAATACCTAAAGAAGTGGTCTGTGCTATGTATCTATGTGAGAAAGAATCTTAGTGGCATTGCTTATACTTTCCCAATCCAAGAACCCAAAAGAGTAAAGCTATTTGCAAGTGCAACCATTTTACAAAGACAGACTGAGATTTCTGAAAAGGGCAAAACTGAGCTCAAATATATAAAACTGTGAATAATCAAATCAATAAAGGCCTACTAGGAAATAAGATGATCACTACCATAAGGAAGTTGGTCTGATTCCCCTAACTCCTGCCTGCTTATCCTCCCATCTCTAAATGAGTGAATTGTTTTGCTTTTTATGAGTTCTGTCTTTAGACTAAGTACATTACGTGAGCAATATTTGTTCCTAAATGAGGTATCACAAAGTGAAACACAACCTCCCTTTTTCTGACATCATGAAGCTAATGAACCAGATACTCATTTCTGTTTTGCCTGATTTTTATTAAAATGGGTTTAAAAACAAGGGGGTCAAGATCACCACAGTTAACTGATCACACCTCATTTCTGGGAACCGGGCAGATGCTTAGGGGCCCTTGTGGGACTAGGTGTGGAGACAAGACCTTTGCAAAAATACAGAAATACTGCAACTTTTGGACTCAATGGTATGAATAGCAAGTTTTTTTGAGGGGAAAAGCTGGGTGATAATGGACACTTTTTTATTTCACCTGCCTTGATTTTAGTTTTCTCTATTTGCTTATGCAGCATCATTACTAAAAAGACACCGTGGTCCGCGGTTTCCTATAGGTGGCAACATTAATAAAGGCATGCATCAATGAGTGGGAATTTACTCTGCACTAAGGCAGGAGGAATACAGATACTGAACTTGAAGTGTCCCTTTAGAAGATACTCATCCAGCTATTTAAAAGTATACTCCTGTTATTTCCCTGTAGTTTTCTGGGTACCTAAACAAAGATTAAACATCTGACATGGACATATGAGCTTAGAATCCCTATAATAATCCCTGTAACAATTTCTCTGTCAACAATGAATGGGAACGTTGCCAATGAGCATTAGGAGTGTCTGATAATAGAGGTGATCAACAAAGGAATGACTAAAAATTAAAATTCTGCACTGCTGTGAGATAGCTGGTTTATTCTTCCAGATGTATAGTGTGTAGCTACTGTAGCAGAACCACCATAATTATTCAATTCTTAATGTATAGAGAGGGAGATTTAAATGGTTATTTTGAAATGTGCTTTAACTTGGGAAATTACAATGATGTGTGACCAAACATAGTTCTCAAACTTCAGCCATGATGAGTATTTTATGTACCAGCAGGAAACCTATTTCTCAAAAAGTTATGACAACACGGTTGCACAATCAAGGACTGACTCCCTTACCAGTCCTCAGTTGTCATTCCTCAAGTACTGCTTCATTCCATCACACTGGATGTAGAAGCTGTCTTGAAGACAGGACTGATGTCCATTTTATGTGCCAGATGAGCAGTTTACCAAAAATACTGTCTCTCAGGACCTACAAAAATTTGTGACTTTGCTTTTTAGGACTCTGTTCTTCCTCCTTTGCATAAGGAAGCTATGCTGGTTGAATTTGAAATGGGGGTGGAAGTGACTAAGGAATTAGTCATAAAAATTTCAGTTGTTTCTCAGACTATTTAAACAGATATGACAACTAGAATGCAAACTTCAGAAACTCCTTTTGTCAAATTAGAAAAAGTTGTGAGGGTTTGACCTGACAAATATTAGCCACATCTTCCACTACTTACAAGAGTTTCTAATATTTCTAACTGTCTTGCTTTGTTTTGAAGAATTCATTTTCATTTTATTATCACTAGAGGTGACGTTAGCATTGTGTGCGGTTATGTTTTTCTGAACTTATTTTTCCTTTCGCTGAGTTTGGAAAATAGTAATATAAAGCAGAAGAAATGTCCTCCTTACAGTGGAAATAGAAAGAACTGTAAGTGTAGCACCACCACCCCCTACTCCTGCCAATAACTTCGCAGCATTGTGTGTTTAGGTAATTTACGGAACACTAGGAAACCGATGGGCAACAAAAAAACTTCAAAATTCCTGTAGTCTACAATTTTTCTTCTCTACATTTCTAAAGAACTCTACACCTTGATGATTCCTCAGGTAACCAGGCTATGAAGCCTGGAAAGCTGTGCCGCATAGGCAGGTGCTCGTGGTGCTTACTCTTGGGAACAGATCCGAGTCCTGAATTCTTCTGATACAGCCTGATGCTCTGAAACTGCTTGGCCACACCCCAAGACTGTCATGAAGCAGAAGTACTTCTTTTGGGCTTTCAGAGAGGTTTTTACTAGTTTCACAGTAATGAAATTTGTGGGGAAGAAAAAGCAAAAAGTACTCTGTAAAGACCTTCTGCTTTCCCAAAGTAATTGAGTTTTCACTGTTGAGGTGTAAGGTTCTTAAAAAATACTGAGGCATCATACCAGTCTCATAAGAATCTTTTTATTTATTTAGCACATTACAACTTCAGCATAGACACAGAGTAGATGTATGTACCAACATTTGCACATAAATGTTGTGTAGACACCAAGAAAAGCACTGATCTGCGGGACCAGCCCAGTGGAGTAAAGGATAGCTTGCTGCAGAAATTCAGTCACTTCTACTTGAAATCATCAAGGCAAACAACAAGATCAAGTTCTGTTAACAACAGACTGTAGTTCTAATTCAAGTAGAAATCTGTCAGAAGAGCACTGAGTATGTGTGCTGGTCATATCAAGTTGCAAAGACAAGAAGTTGATTTAAAGCCTGTTAAGTTCTGAGAGAGATGCAAGGAACTGTTTTAACACTTACCTAGAATGTTTTATCCCCATTAACAACAGTGGAAGAGCAGTTGAGTAACATAAGAAATGAAAAGTATGTCCTGTCTCTACTTCAGACCTCATTAGGCCTGTAAAGTTTAAAATTTATCAACAGCTTTAAGATATTATGTAGTGCTTTGAACCGAAATCAAACAGACTATTAAGCATCTTCATTTATTTTTGTCTATTACTTCTTATTTCAGGGGTGAAACTACATTAGTGGCCACATGATTGCTTGATACACAGCTGATGGCACTTAAAACACAGGCCCAGGATTTAGTATGGCTTACAGTAAAGTTCAATGGGTTTACAACAGAAGATGAGAAATTACACCAGTTAAATCATGAGTCACTTCAAACTTTTAACTCACTTGTATCTCGAACTTTGCTGTAAACTTTGTCCTCTTCAGCATATCCCCTCCTAACAAAAAGTTGTCATGGTCAGCTGTGATATTTTACAATTTCTCCTTCAAATGACAAACTGCATGCTGTCCTACAGAAAATGAGGTACAGTGGGTCTCATATTTCCCTATCCAAGCCAGCAGCCATAAAGGCTATTGTTTTCCAGCTTAAAATGCTTTCCCTTAAGACACTTTAACATCTCTTCTTATAAAACCTACCTCTCAATGTTAAAACTGACCTGCTGAGTTGCAGCTAGTGCTTCACTCTAGCAGTTCTTACATCCAAAAAATTACAGTCAGCGTGTTTATAAGAACTTGTCACAGAAAGCCATAAGTCTTCAAAAGTTTAAGATTAAATCTTTTGAACTCAAGAACGTGGACTGGAAATCATGCTTTACTATATCAAAAGCTTAGATTTCCGTTCTGCACGTGCTGTGAGTTAAAAACTGCCACAGCATTACTGTAGGCTTTAAAGAAACTTCAGCATGGAGAAAAGAACTGAGAGATTTCAGTAACTCATGCTGAATTTGTCAAGAACATTGCAGTGTGAAAGAGTAAACACACATGCAAATCTAAAAAGAAAATAAATTCTTGCACATTGACTGTAAAAAAACCCTTATTCTCATAACATCTTCAGCTGCACTCACACTGAGTAGTCAGGAATATATTGAGTAACAAGGGAATCTCTATTCAGGAAGTTTCAGTGCTCAAGTTGTTCTCAGCACAGGCAGAAGAGATAGCAGAGTCTTATGAGCAGAAAAAGCTCATGGGGGTTGTAGTACATTCCATTAATGATGTTGTTTGGAGCAGTGACACTCAAGGCAGTTGGTATTTTAACAGGGACT